ACATCATTAACAATACATCGGTAGCGAAGTATTTTCTTTCTAAGCCATTATTTATACGTTCCGTGTTATTAGACAAAGAAAAGAAAAAAAAGTTATAGTTTGTAATTTCTGTGCAATTAGTTTGTTATGTTTTAAAAATCACTCTCCTTTCTACATACATAGTTTGCAGCCGGCCACACAGCTCTTTTTCTTTTTTCTTTCGTTCTTTTTTTCCATGGGTTTTTTCCCTTTAAAAAGAAACCTTTTAACTTATAAAGTCTTTTGCCATGTCAGTATGCTAGACATACCAATTGTACTAATGGTAGTGATTATAGTACAGTAATTCCAGTACCAGTGAGGCTTCTGATCTCATTTATTCCTTACGATATATTCTGGTGTCTAGGTGGGCATTTTAGATCATTTCCAGGTAAATAAAAATTTTAGATCATTTCCAGGTAAATAAAAATTTCTTTGTTAGCTACGTGAGAATACAGGACCTTCAAATATTGCTTAGTAGTGATAACAAAGAGCAATCTGTTTCTGTTCAGGGTCTGATGCAAATTGTCGACCAGTTCGCGAAAAGAATGAAGGTGCTGTGCATTTTCTTAATAATATTACCAGTCTTAGTGTCCTCTGGTCCGTTGGCTTATGCTGCCTGCCAAACGGCTTGTAATTATGGTGCTGTAACGTGTTACAGTTTAGCCGGTCTTACCTTCGGGGTAACAACTGCAGCTGCTGCAGCTACGGGCCCTGTTGGATGGTGGGCATGGCTGACGTCGACTCCCACGTCAACTATTGCAGCTGCCGCGGCTTGCAGTGCTGCACAAGGAACATGCATGGCTGCTTGTACTCCGCTTTTAGTAGCCCCAACACCGTAACCGAACATTTAATGAGCGTGTAATGATTTAACTTTTCACCTGTACACATTTTCACTCATTTTGGCATCTTTTAGCTCACCTTGCCCTCAGAAAAATAATAGTTTATAAAACTAGTTTCAGTTTTTATGTTTGTTTGTACAAAAAGCTCGTTTAAAACGCACTTTAAAATTTATACCGAAGAGCTCGGTGTCATTTTTTGTTTTTCTTCCAAACATTTTCTTTTTCCGTTCTTCTTCTGTCAGCATGGTTTTTTACTTTTTTGTAACAAGATGTGACAAAGAAAACGAAGCGGGATAAAAGAAAAAATAATGATATTGCCGATGACGCAACTACGGCTAAGGATGACAGACGATGTTAATTAAGAATGCAGGAAAGGAGTATCCAGTTTCGTCAAAATATTTTGTAAGCACATTCTATGTTGAAAGTTTAATTTTAAATCCGGACTGAACAGGTCTATGTTAAAGCTATTAATGCTATTGAAAGGGCTGTTTGTTTCGTTACTTTCATGGCTTTGCAAAAGGTTTTCTTAAGCGGTTAGGTCCTTCAGACCGAACGATTGATGATGCGATTGTGTTTACTCCTGACTTTCTCCCCAATAAAAACGATTTATTTGAATTAAAAAAGTAGTGAATCTGGAAGTAAAAAGATCAGGTGTAAGATAAAAAAAGAATATTTTTGGAACTCATTGGCTTTAAACTGAAATTTTGAATTTAAAGGTTGCAGCTGGACAATTTCTCCAGTACAAAGCAGGATGTGTTGTTAGCGGTGCAATACGAGACTCCAA